CTGCTCTGGGCTGCCAGGCAGGGAGGAGGCATCTGCAGGAGGCGTCTCTGGTGCTGTGTGGTGTCTGCTGTAGGTCCTCCCTGCACCTCGTGGCCCTTGGCTTGTAGAGGCATCACCAGATCTGGATCCCTGTCCTTCTCTTACATGGCGCTGTTCCATCTCTTCCCACTTCCCCTTTTTATAAGGATACCAGTCACGTCGAATTTGGGGGTCACCCTAACCTAGTGTTGTATCATTTTCACTTGAGGACATCCAGAAAGATGCTTTTTCCAAGTAAGGCCAATCCATAAGGGCCTGGGTTAGGACCCAGCATCTTTTGGGGGGACATCGTTTAAGCCACTGCAGCAGAGGCCCACTGTGGCATCACTCCCGTAGCCCTGGGATCCTCTCTGCCCTTGATGTGCAGTCACCCTGCATGCCCCACAGGCTCCATAGCTGCCCTTCTCTCTGTGCCTCCAACACCCGCTGTGGCTCCCCTGCCCCAGAGCAAACCCCTGTTCCCTGAAGGGATGGCAGACATGGCCAGACACCCACCAAGGGAGCACCCACTATGGCCCCACCTTCATCTCCTTCTGTACCTCAGTTTCTCCATTCTGGCTGGAGCCTGGGTTCAGCCCTGACATCCTCTTGCCTGGCTGGAGGCTTCTGATGACTAGGCCATGTCCTGCCAGCTTTCAGCCCATCTCCCACCCAGCTGTGTACAGCTGGGTTGGGGGTGGGATCCTAGGCTGAGCTCCCCACTGCCAGGAACATCTGAGCTGGTGAGGGTAAGTCAAGTGTCCTTTCCATGCCACAGGACTGCTTGCATTCAAAAGGGCATTTGGGGCTGAACAAGAGCCTGAGGGGTGTTGCAGTTACCCCTGTCAGTTCTGCTCTGAGGGCTTAGGGGTCACTTAGCGCAGTAGCAATGTGTGCAGATACTGTAAGGGACAGTTTCCTGCGTGCTCCCAGAGGCTAATGGTCACCAGCACTCTGGACCTGCTCATCCTGTGCAGGAGCTGAGACCCCTGGGTCCTTGTGCCACAGCCTTACACTTGGGGACTCCCTGGGGCAGTTAGGAGGCTTCAAGAAGGGGGTGCCACTGAGCAGAGCATGCCAGCAGGAGGGGTAGTGTTATGGTTTGGGGAAATATTTTGCAAGGGGAGCACAATAATACAGGACACATATTTTATAAGGTTATTTATAATATAGTCACCCAAAGGATGATATACAAGATAGTGCAGGAAATCTGTCCACACACTATAGACCAAGAATCCAGCTGAGGGCCTGGATCCCGCAACAATGTCCTGCATGAGTCCAGCTGAAGACCTAGAGCTCATAACAACGCCTCCCATGAATCCAATTGGAGTCCCAGAGCCCATGACAATGTCTCATGCAGGCCTGTTTCACAGATCTGCGTTGGGAAGGCCCAAAGGTCAATTGTAGGATCTAGAAAGTCTGTGTCAGCGGGATGAAGAATCTGTGCTAGCAGGCTGAGGGATCTGCACTGGAGCCAGGAAGTGACGCTCAGAAGAACCAGAGCTCCCCCGAAAGGTACCGCAGCCATCCTCAGCAACAGTAAGGACCCGAGCTCCTCCGATGATCAAGATGGCTGAGTTCCCATCAGGAAAGCCAACGCAGCAAGCTTCTCCAGGAAACCAGCAGTGCACCATCTTCCCCTCCGGAGCCAGAAAGCGATGCTTAAAGTGAGGACCAGAGCTCCCCCAAAGTGAACCAAAGCTGTTCTCAGTGCCAATGAGGTCCTGAGCTCCTCGGAGGATGACAATAGCCAAGTTCATCAGGAAAGACAGCATGACGAGCTCCTCGGAAAGAACAGCTCCTTACAGCTTCTACCAGCTCCCAACAGCCTTTCTTTCCTTCTCCAGTTCGGCCTCATATGCTGCTGGCAACAATCCTCAGGTGGGATGCTTACTCAGTTCAGCTGGGGGTTACAAGCTGACCACCAGTTATCACTCCACTACAGGTGGGCAGACAGCCCTGTCACTGCTCCTTAGGAAGTTCTGAGAGTGGGCAGGCTGAGCCAGGGCCAGTCTTCTCCAAAGGGTCCTGGCTCCTGATCAAAGAGCATGCAGACCTGGTGTGTGCAGACTATACACTCAAGGGACACTGCAGGACACAAGCCTCACCATGGACAGCCCAGCCCAGCTCTGCTCAGTGGGACCACATGGCTACCGGGAGGCCAGCACCTTGTCCAGACCTCTCCCAGTTTGGAAAGTGCCTGAGGAAGGGGACTGGGGCCTTCAGGGCAGACCGGGCCAGTGGGCAGGAAAGCAGGGCTCCCTGGGGTGGGGGCTTGGGCAGAAGCCAGCCCCCACAGACCCCTGTGATCCTGAGCCACCCACTGTGGGGCAAATGTTCCCAAGCTTTGGCATTATCTGGCCACAGGAGGATGGACCTGCAGGGAACCCAGGAGGGCCATGCTATGGCCACCGCAGGAGAGCAGAGGCCTCTATAGTCATGGTCTGTTATGGTTTGGAGGACATTTTTGCAAGGGGAATAATATAATACAGGACACATATCTTATAAGATTATTTATAATAGTCACCCAAAGAATGGTAGACAAAAGAGTGCAAGAAATCTGTCCACAAACTGTAGACCAAGGAATCTAGCAGAGGGCCTGGATCCCACAATAATGTCCTACATGAGTCCCGCTGAAAACCTAGAGCCCATAACAATGCCTCCCACAAATCCAACTGGAGGCCCAGAGCCCATAACAATGTCTCATGCAGGCCTGGTTAGCGCTGTGAAGACCCAAAGGTCAGTGGTGGAATCTACAAAGTCTGTGCTAGCAGGATGAAGGACCTGTGCTAGCAGGCTGAGGGATCTGCACTGGAGCCAGGAAGTGACCCTCAGAAGAACCAGAGCTCCCCCGAAAGGTACCACAGCCATGCTCAGCAACACTGAGGTCCCGGGCTCCTCTAGTGATCAAGATGACTGAGTTCCCATCAGGGAAGCCAATGCAGCAAGCTTCTCTAGACTAGCAGAGCACCATCTTCCCCTCCGGAGCCAGGAAGCAATGCTCAAAGGGAGGACCAGAGCTCCCCCAAAGTGAACCAAAGTCATTCTCAGTGCCAACAAGGTCCCAAGGGGTCCTCGGAGAATGAAAACAGCCAAGTTCATCAGGAAAGCCAGCATGACGAGCTCCTCCAAAACAACCAACAACTCTTCACAGCTTCCACCAGCTCCCACCAGCTCCCAACAGCCTCTCTCAGCTCCCAAAAGCTTTTTTAGTTCCTAAAAGCCTCTCTTCTTCTCCAGGTCTGCCTCATATGTTGCTGGCAACAGTCCCCAGGTGAGCCTCCCACACCCAGCACCACACTTACTCAGTTCAGCTGGGGGTTATAAATTGACCACCAGTTATCAACCCGCTACAATGGTCACTCTCTTCAAAGCTGTTTCTCATGCAACAGCGCTGATCTGTAGGCCCACACACGGTTGCCTCTGGTCCTTCCTTTCTATTGCTTCCTTCTGCCTCCCCAGGGGATATCACTACCTCCTCAGTCAGTGGAAGGACCCATAAGGCAAGCATCCGGGGGGAGCTTCCCAGCATGGGAGGGCATCCCACCTGCTGGGGCTCTGCTTGCTGGGCACTACTCACCGTTCAGGCCTCCCTGCAGACTTTTCTGTCCCTCCACAGAATGAGCTCTTCTTTTGGAGGCCTTGGATTCACCCTGCTGTATAGGGTGAAAGTCTCTCTGACCTGTCACTTCATGGTTAGCCCAGTCCCGTGTAAGCATATGAGCTGTGGACATTGGACAAGTGACTGAACTGTTCTGTGCCTCAATTTTCCTGACTATAAAACAGAGGTTAAGTAAGAAAACACACATCTGGTATTTTCCCCAGTGCCTGGTGCAGAGTTAACATGAGTCCGTCTTCATCTGTGTTGTTCAAATTCATTCTGTCTGACAGGTTCCAAGTCTGGCCCAGACCTCAGAGTTGGAAATACCACCTGTCTGTACCCGAGTAGGAAGGTGATGGAGGAGAAAGCTGTGGGCTAAAGGGACACAGCCCAAGATGCCACAGCCTTCAGAAATACACAGGGAAATGGGTTACCATGTCGTGCCTACAGATTGGCAATTTAAAACACTTCACAGTTACTGGGCATGGTGGCTCATGCTTTTGATGCCAGCACTCTGAGAAGTTCAGGTATGAGGATCACAGGTTCAAGCCCAGCCTGGGCAATTAGTGACTTAGGAGACCCTGTTTCAAGATAAAAAAATAAAAAGGGCTGGGGATATAACTCAGGGTAAAGGCCCTGGGTTCCATTCCCAGTGCCACCAAAAAACCTGAGCTTGCAGAAGTGGGGACACTCCATTCTGGTGGAGGTCTCTTACCTGCCCCATATCGCCTTCCTGCCTGGGCCCCTCAGCCTGCCTGGTCAGGGGCATTGTGTCTAGCTCTCGTGGCGCTGTCCTGTCCTGTCCTATCCCTGGATGGCAGTGGGTGGGACTGGGCACCATCTGAGGGCAGAGGAGTCCCTATGGCCTGAGTCCCCTACACATCAGAGTGTCATCGCTGGCTGTCTCTTCCAGGATCAGGGTTGGCGTGAGCCTCTTGGTCCCAGCGCCGGGCGCACCCACCTGGCTTCCGCCAGCACTGGAATCTTGTATCCACAGGTCCAGTCTGGGGAGGGCCGGGGCGCAGCGCTCTGGTCCCCCACTCGGCTCCCGCACAGGGCGGACCCACTCGCCGCTCCCGCGCTCTCCGCCCGCGCCGCTGGGGGCCGCCCGCGGGCTGAGCCGGCAGAGCT